TAGTCCCCCCCCCCCCGGATGGAATAACACCACTTTATATCGGGAAGTGTATCACATGCGCCACTCATTGAGTGACATGTGTCAAAAGAAAAGAAAGGAAATCACAAAAAAGAAGATTACCACCACTCGTTTCTCCAACCACCCCTCAAGTCGCCGTCAGACTGCTGGACTATTATTTGACCACTATTACAGACCCCAAGACACCCTTCTCTTTGATCCCCTCCAACAGCTCCCATCACTAGCTGATGCCATAGAAGCCGGAAAAGGGTTGTTTCTCGGTGTAATTTTTACTGTAGCAGAAGAGCACCATTTTCTTCCTTCTGCACCAGGTTCATCTGATGTCTTCCAGCAAACAGTAATTATCGTCCTTAACTTGCTTTTAGAGTCCCTCTTTTCTCCGAGACTCGTGCATCACAATGGCTCTAGTCTCATTTACTGGTGCTGCCATTTCATTCCCCTTTTGGGACTTGTCAAAAACTGCATTGATGATGTCCAGTTCTGTGATATCTTCATCTGGGATTTGCTCCACCATTGGACAAGCCTCTGCCATTCCTCACCCGTGTCTCTACAATACACGGATTTAGAGACGACTCTTCAGATTGGATATTGATCTTAAGAGCCATAGTGGCTTAACTTTCCCAACTAAATTAATCTTTAATAAACCTTGCAATTCCATTGGGAATTCTGATATAAAAATTGAGAATTTCTGTGGTAACACAGTCCATGGCATCAAGGACAAGAGGGATGACAGCGGAATCCTGTGTATCTTTCAGTTGGTGGGTGTTCTTTAGAGAAAAGTGGGGAGTGGGAGGATGTGTTTTGTCAAGGGGTGGTGGTGGTGGAGGTGGTTGGGCTGTAAAAAAGGAAGATTAAAAACAAAGAAAATGAATAATAAATAAGATGAAAAATATTTAGACTGTTGGATCATTTGATTAAATCTGACCATCCATTTTGTCAATCTTTTTTAAGTTAAACCTCTTCATGTGTTAGAAATGTTGAAAAAAAAAACGTTAGCTACGTGTCAAAATTTGTGGTGGTGGTGGGGTACTAGCTACGGAATTTCAAGTTAAGATGTGTAAGAGGGGTGTGTAATCTCAACTAATTGGTATTGCCTATAGAAAATTAATGCTCCTCTTAGCCTCACTATAACATAGATGCAATGATGCATGCTAAACACATTTATACCTACCCCCCAGCATATCAGTCGTTTGCATAATAGTTAGTGCTCTTAGACTAATTGCACCACATCCAATGATATAAAAAACGAAGCTTCTATGTAAATTGGAGGCAACCCGTAGTTAAAACTTTATGAGTACATTATATTAACACCAGATATACAAGCAACACCATTCTTGTGCTTTCTTTCTCCAATCCCTGTTTACCTTCATTTTCTTTTCTCCTCGAAATGGAGTTCTTTTTGTGCTATTTATGTTGCTTATTATGGATCACAAAATATTTTCATTTTGCTTTTTGGATCAATGCATCCTAGATTTCATTGGGCTGTAACTTCCTGAACTAGGGCCTGATTTTGGCATACCTCCGTCTCAACAATTATTGCGGCGGAAGCTTCTTTCAGTTCTGAGTGACTCTGGCAAAGGATCCTCAATCATTGATAATATATCCATAGCAAGGAGATATGCTGCTGAATTGTCCCATACAATTCCAGTATCATCAGACGATGAAGCTCTTTCAAAAGCCATTAAAGAGGTGAGTCAAAAGAATCTAATTTGTTATATTGTTCAAAAGCAGACTGATTAAGAATCTGAAAGCTCACTATACTGGCATCACTTGTCTTGATAGGTCAGAAATGATAAGGTACAGTTTATCTGGACGCAATTTGCAGAGCTATATGCATATTTGAGGAAGCAAGCAGATGACTCTGAGGAGCTAAATAAAAAATTAGCAGAAATGATAGCATTGATGACATGTGAGAAACAGTCTAATTCCAGAAAAAGCATCAAATTTGATGTCACTCCCGAACTAAAGGATATATTAGGCTGCATGAATCGCAGAGTCAGGAGCATTTACTCCAATCTTCCTCTAAATGCTATGCTTATTATTTGCACTGGTCATGGAAACACTGCAATAGTTCAAAGGTACCTTTTAAGCTGGATTGCACAAAATTCTTACTCCTCTCCTGAATCATAAGTTTTGAACTAAACAATGTTAGTCATTTACTGGGTTTTAGAGTCAAGATTTAGTTTAGCCTCTATATTCGGATGGCTGGCCTTGTCTAAATTTTGGGACATCCCTCATAATTTTTGATAGCTAAATGACATTTATTGACAAAATTGAGAGTCATTCACGTATAGGAATATAAAAGTTAATTTATCATAGTTTAGCATCAACTTGCATGAAAAAGTGCTTCTTTATTCACACTGATTTCATGAATCCAAGGTCATAGTTCATGTCTTTAACAGGCTTTCAATATTTAGTAGTTAATGTATACACGTGTTAGATAGTGTAATTTTTCAAAAATATTAGAATTTTTAAATTTTTGTGATTGAAGAAGAATTCAAGATTTATCATTTTATTTCATGTTTTAGTATTACTTCATTCAATTCTCCTGTGAAATTGTTGGTTTTTTTAGAAAATGTTTTCTTTTATTGTAGCCCTTTAATTATTTTTTAACACGATATAAAACCAATTCTGGATTGGATGAAGTGTTTACATGTGCCAAGATAATTATTATTGGAACAAATCTTTATCCAGCTCAAGACCAAAACCTTTTTTAGATATACATCAGTCATCAAGTTTCAACATGAAAAAAAAATCTAATGTGAAAGTACATAATCCAGTTATATTGATCACCTTAATACAATCCTGCATTATAATCCGTGTACCACTGTTCACAAACCAAATGCGTCCTTACTGCTCTGCGTAGACAGACAGTTTGCCTTACCAGATCAAATGGTAGAATTCCTTGCCAGAGTAGATGCAACCTTTCTGTTTCATAGGATCAATAAACTCACATGAAGTAGTCCTGCTAAACTTCAATCATCCAGTGACAACAGTATTGTAAAAACAGACATCCTTTTATAATCCCTTATGGTACTTAAAACAGCTATTTTTGTTATTCTTTATAATTTTTTGAAGTATAAAACCTGTTAGTTCTACCAGTGATTATTGCAGAGACCTTTTCTACATCATCATGAAGGGAAACCTTTTCCCCCGCCTGAGGCTCACTGTTTTTCTCCATTATATGTTCTTTATCAAGACTTTCTGCTACCTCTTTTTGTCGTTTATCTTCTTCCAGTGGTGTAGAACGTGCTGTTTTATGTTACCAACTGTTTGTTACTCTGTAGTAGGTTGGCATGAACCATGTATAGTTCAGTCTATCTTAATATAAGTGTTCCTAAGCATGTACTTCTATTAGTGCTTTTCTGCTACTGATCCTCTATTGGTATTTGGGGAGGCCGGAAGTCTGTCCATTCTAATTCTGAGTGATTCAAATTTTATACTAGATCCTCGAATAATTCACATGGAGATCCAGGAGATACCTGATTTCCTATCTTCTAGTTGCCAGTCTTTTTGTAGATTTAAGGCCAGATAATATGCTATTGCTTAGCAAAACCTGCTAATTATTTCTTTTTCTTTTTGTGCACACAGAGTGAGGAAGATCTTGTCAGAGCAGACTGATGCCTCGATGCCCCGTGAGAACATTGTTAAACTCTTGGAAGAGTTGCAGGCGCAAGCTGAAGTTGGTTTGTGCTTTGTAGGTGTCAAACACTAACCATATTTCTCATCTGATCGTATTATCTATATTCTAACTCTTATTGGAAGCACCTTTATTAACCCGGTTTATCAGGGCAGTAATAGAATAGGAATCTGCAAGATGAAGCAATTTCCTATGAAGGGAATTTTTTGATGTAAAGTTAGTTCATTATGTGTAAACTTGTATATGTAAGGTATCTTGTTGCCTTTCATCGTCTCCATGGCCTTAACGAATAGCTGAACAACATTATATTGTATGGCCAAGTTATTACACTTTTCTCTGAGTTGTACGGTTAACGTATTAGATACTTTTCTATGTACTTGACTATCTCTAGGTGTTGTATATGTATATGCAAATAATTAGATCCTGACTCATAGTTTACTGGTATTGTTTGGTTCTTCTCTCATGGATGACCAATTGATGATTGAGATGAAGACAAAAGTTGGTCCACCAAGAAGTGCTATAAAGTCTGAACTCTGACCCAAATTGATACTGGGGAAATGAAGGAAAAGAGCCACCAGGTTCATATTTGAACTGGTAATTGTTCTGTGAGTTGATTTAGAAGACTTTGACCTAGCTTAGCTTAAAGTCCAAGAATCATATATCCTACAATGTTATGATAAGTTTGTACACACTTTGACTAATTTAACACTGCTATATCCATGAGCACATATCTTAGACTTCAATCTTCTCCTTCTTACTTAAAACCGACCAAATAAAGAGATAAACACCTTTGGTTGAACCAGTACCTAAAATATGGTCTTCAATTAATCTTGAACAAGAGTATTAGCTTCAATTGAACAAACTCGACCTTCAAATATTTAAAGACTGGAAAGATTGTGAATGTTCATGCTGCTTAAGCAATCACAAGAAATTACTCCTGATTTAGCAGAATCCCCATACACCAACTTTATACAATAACTGTATCCTCTGTCCCAAATACATTAAAATCGACCATATAGATCTTCACTTCTCCATTTAAGCTCAAATTATAGACAGAAATAGAAGTGAAATAAATTAAACATATAAAAAAATAATAGTCAAATGGAAGAAAATCGCTGCAACTATCGGACTTGCTAAGATCCTGCTCAATTATCTGGACAGAAAACTAAAATGAAGTATAAGAATAGCTAGCTGAAGTAGAAACTGACAATAGAGGACGAAAAAAAACAGTTTTATCTACTAGTTTCACATCAACCTACATTAGCACAAAAGTTAATCTTATCTTGAATGGCATCAAAGTATACAATGCCATGCATTCTGATCATAAACACTGAAATATTATCACACAGTCTGTTTTCGCTACAAGTTGATCCAATGCACAGCATTGTTTGTTTCTGAGAGAGCATATGTTGTTTCTACCTCCAAGCTGAAGCAACAGTCAGGGTCTTGTCCTCCCACCCGAAATAGAGTGCACCTGCCTCCTCCTCTGCTTTGTACCTTTCGCTATATTGCTTGATAAGATTCCGGATTGAGTCATAGACATTTCGGCTAATTGGGGATGGAGTGAAACCAGCCATCATCATCCTAGCTCTCCACTTCCCTGCAACCTCATAGCGCTCTATTCGCTCCAATCCTTCACAGGCAACAATGTTGATGATATCACGTGCAAGACATTGCCGTTCTACATTAACCCTCTCTTGGCTATCCCTTGAAAGAGTTGCATCGAGAGACTCGAATACGACACAATAGTAGTTGTAGACTTCTGCAAACCTTTGTAGAAATGGGGCAGTGTTAGTGTTCATGTCTTGCTCAACAACTGTTACCAGCTTTGGATTTAAGCTCTTCACCATCCGCAGAAGCTGGTCTCTTTGGTTTACCGTTGATACACTTTCATCAGGCATGTGATGAAGCTGGAACGCGAAGTTTACTAAAACAGCTTCACCAGGACGGCAGTTCAACATTGCTGGGGTGACTAATCCAGTGTTGGAAGACACTGCTTGGAACTCAAAAGAGATCTTAAGATCTTTGGCCAGCTCTGCAAGCCTGAGACCAATGACATTAAGGCCTCCAATAGCACGTTGGACAGATTCAGGGTCGTCTACCCCAGTTAGCCTCACATGGGGTGGCTTACCAGGCATACTAGCCAATGTCTGCAATAAAGTGTAATATTGACTTCCTTGGTTAAGGTCAAAATCTATGATGTGAACTCTTTTCTCATCTTTAAAAGCCTCTAGGATCGCACCATTAGCTGCCATAAAACCAAACCTAAAGTACGGACATACTTCAAAGAGGACTTGCATAGCAGAGAGTCTCTCCGAAGAGGTAGCTTCTTTGCATTTTAGAGCTTTATAAAGACCTCTGCCAGATGTAGCCATTCGAGCTGCAAGAGCTTCTACCATGTAAGCTGCAGTCCTTTCAAGAGGATCTCCCTGGATGGAGACCATCTGCCTCAGTTCATTAATCATAGATGAGGCTTGTTCAATATGTCCATCTTGAATAGCAGCAGCACAACTAAAAAGCATCTGCTTTGGAGTTTGAGGAGCAGATACAGATATTTCCTTGTAGCTACTACTGCTACTGATATTAGAATCTGCAGATGTAGACTCCTGAAGTAACTCAGTTCGGATCTGGTTAAACCATTCATCATCTATGTCCATAGTCTCCCCACGAGTAAATACATCATCTCCTTCAATTTCGTTATCATCGAAAAGTACCCTTTCAAGTTCTTGAAGCTTCATTGTCACCCTTCCATCATTATATTCTGATGAATCTGGACTTTGATTGACAAAGTCTCCTGAATCATAACTAGCCTGATTGTAATCTCTTGATGGATGGAAAGAAGATGAATGTCTCTGGTGGAATGGATTCCCCAAGACATCTGTAGGTGATGTGGTTAAAAGTTCTTCCGAAGGTGAAGGTGATTCTAGCAAATACTTTGGATCATAACTGTCTGTGCTGCTAGACTCGGTTGCATACATAATCCCACGTGCATTTTTGGAGTACATGGATGTTGACAAGCTAGAGTTATCGTCGTGACCATTTTGAAAATACAGCTTCCCATTTCCAATTGATCTTAGAGATCTAACTAAAGACATGGTTCGCTTGTTATTCTAATTCTCAAAATGAAGCTGCTTGAATGTTCCCTTACAAACACTGTTCCTCGATTCAACTAGAAACTGGTACGGGATCCCTGTAACTGAATTTGGTATTTGGGAGATACTGCTCTCTGCTGCTGAAACATCAAATAGACAAACACTCCGATTAGACAAAAAGAAACCAGTAGTGGAAAATAAGACAATATTAAAAGACAAATATGGGAATAGAAGATATATGCATTGTTGCTTCATACGATCCTTATGCACTGGATATCAAGTCGGGGGGTAAATAATTCAACATATGAGATAGAACGCAGCAGGTTACAGACGATTCAGCGTCCGAAAATGATTTTAGTGAAAGAAAATGTACTCTCCTCTCTATAACTATTCAAAATCCTTTTGAGCTTTTTAGTTTCGTGAACCATATCTGTGAGACCAACAGAATTAAAAAAGCTACTCATCAACGATAGCAAGTCATCTCGCAACCAACAGTAACTCCTAAAATCACTAAATGGTGTTTACTTTGTGAAAAAACTCCTGCAAAACCAAGTCTTACTTTTGCGGAGTAGGAAGTTTTCCTTAGTTTATTACTCAAGCTCCTTCAACACTAGAAGAACATCGTCAAAATTACATGTCCATCGTTCACAATAAAGAGAAAATCAAAGACGATATTTAATAATACCACTTCTTGCTTTTGACACAAGGTGTTAAAAAGTTGGAAGCAACAAGGGATTTAGCCCATTAGAGAATCAACAAAATACCAAAAAGAACATAAACCTCAACAAGAAAAAAGCAACCATTGCAGCCGAGGAAGTGGTCTAGTGGTCAATGAAGTGAGTTGAGAACTAGAGACCAAAAAACTAAGTGAATACTTTCCTTCTGTCCTAGCCTTAGCCTTGGTGGACAGAGGAGTTACCTTGCGGCGGGAGGTGGCACATAACCAGTGGAATTAACCGAGGTGCGCACAAGCTGCCCTGGACACCATGTTTATCAAAAAACAAAAAAGAAGAACAAGGCAAACATTCCAAAACCCTTTGATTTCTACAGATCTATCCTCCTCCTGAGTATGAACATGGTAATCACATAAAAACATACTGGAGAATTTTGAATTCTCAACTTCTGAAGATCAATTAAGGGCAACAAACATGATCCATACACAAATTGTTCTTCACAAGTTTGTAAAACAGATAAAGAACTACACTTCAAAAACAACCAATCACCAAATCCAGAACAAAAAACAAAGCAAAATCAGACAAAAACAGAGAAAACAAGAACACAAAGTCAAAAGAAGCAAAGCCAAATATACCTGTCAAGTTGAACTCAGAAAGAGAAGATCTTAAGATGTATCACAGTAGAGAGAAAAATCAACAACAGCAATCTGCAAGTTTCCTATGTGAACAGATAAAAGATTAAATTTCAAAATTAGCTTAGAAGAAAAGCACACCCCTTTAGGGCTTTGACCAAAGTTAAGATATATTACCCTTTTATGGTATATTTCCAATAAAAATATCTTCAGTAGGTACAAATCCAGCAAGCAAAAAGATTAAACAATTTCCATAAGATACAACAAAGAAACTTTCAAGTTTCAACTAACCAAAATTTAGATAAAACCCCACAAACAAAAATTTAGTCTTTATGTGCCAAAAATTCAACCTTTATGAAAAAAAATCAATCTTTCAAGACTTAACAAAAATAATACAAATCAATCTTCTGGAATTCAAGAAAAAGGAATGAGAACACTTACACCCTTTTAGTTATATTTTATATACTTGTAAGGAAGCTTCCTAAAATCCCAAAAAAATTCAACCCCTTTTACTTTTTCTTGTTCTTGTTCTACTATATACTACTACAATTATTAGTACTAGTAATTCTGTGTTTTTTATATATAAATACCAACTTGTCTGACTCTACAAGAACCAAGTTGTTTGATCCATGCCTGTTTTTTTTTTTTTTTTCAATTTGTCCCCACAAGACAAATCAATCTGCACCATTAGATTATAATCTTGTGGACTATGTTTCATTGTTACATGTGGGATGAGCATGGATAACGCGTGTACACGATGTTTTTTTTTTTTTTGTTGTTCATTTTTGGTTGTGGTTGGTGACGTTGGAGTGTATGTCATGAATTCAAGACATAGTCAAATTGTCCTTATAAGATAGGGGTAAAATAGTAAAACTACATACCAATCACCCTTTCGGGGTCTTTTGTAGTATAAGGTATGGTTTGTGACTCTCTTCGTTGACGACATTCATTACTTCTCGCAAGAATAGTTTATCGGTGGAGGAGTAGAAGCGTTGGTCCCTTTGATCAACTTGTTTGCGACTTAATGCGTTGTTACCTATTGAACACCTACATCAAAAGCTCGGTATACAATTTGCACGAAATCTATTTTTCAAGAGTTTACGTATATAAGTCTTTAGTACAATGTTGATTGGTGTACTTTAATGTAATCGTAGGACTTCCGTTCTTAAATTAAAAAAAATAAGATGTTGTCCTCTCCTTATAATCAAGTAGATGGAGTATGAATAAAAATAAATAAACAAAAAGAAACGAACAAGTATAAAAGCTATAATTATAAACCAAGATCGAATCTATGGAAACATTAATTTATACGTTCCTCTTAGACATTTTTGTTTATACGTAATTGATTGCTATATACTCCAACTTTAGTTCATAACTTTTAAATTAAATTTTATGTGTTATTTTTAAATTTTAACGGTAAATATCTTTTTTTCTTTGAAACTTCAATCAAATATTGATCATGCATCCACTTAATTTGGTATAAGCAAATACGTTAAACTAAAAGTAAATTTGTAAACTAAGAAAACAGAATTTCCCAAAAAATATTTGTATCACCTTTTAGAACAGAGGATAATTGTTTTTTCGGGGTAGTAACATTTTAAGACTAAATTACCCTTCAAGAGGTTTGTAAGGGTCCTTAAAAATGGAAGTTGAAAAGGGCAAAATTGACATTTGATGGATTTAGTTGGGAAGTGGTTAAACTCGTGGTGGGGACTAATGCAAGATGTTGAAGGAAATTTCCTTTTCTCAACAACTGAATAACGATCTCTCCGAAAATTTTAGTAGTTCAATTAATTAATCATTTCTAATCAGAATTTTTTTTAAAATTTTTTTTTGATGAAAGGATAATGATATACCCTCATAATTGGTGTTTGAACCAAAGTGTGAAATGAATATTTTGTGGTATTTTTACCCCACAAGAACATTCTAATTTTAAAGTATTATAAGTCATGGTCATCCATTTAGTTTACCTTATCCATAAAAAAAAGGTTTTCAAACTGCATAAATTGACATATTTAAATTAATTAGAGAAAATAACAAAGTCATTTCTTATACGTGTGATATTGTGATAATGGAGGAACCAAATGTCACACTCATATATAACTTGATAACTCTTAGCAATTGGATAACAAGTCAAATCATGACTCCAGAAATAGGATATAAATGATATTTTGTCAAACGGATGAAACATGATGTTAGGGAGCAAAAATAGTATTTAGTATCGTAACAATACAAGAAATTGTCAAGAATTCACGCGCGTTTAGAAGATGAAAATAGCGAAAATAATGAGAATGGTTAGATAGATGTATTAGAAGACTAGATATAATTACGAATAAAGTATTCGGAACAAGGTGTATGAGAGTGATTTTCATGATGGATAAATAGATAAGATACGAAAAACGAAATTGAAATAGTTCGAACATGTAAAGAGAAGGAGCTAGCACAAATGCTCTAGTGAGAGTACTGCGAGAGATTGACAATGATTGTAGGACGTCCAAGGAGAGATACAGATAGATTGAGAAAGAATTGGAAAGAGGTGATAAAACATGATATGACACATTTTTAGCTTATCGACGACAAGATCGTAATTAAAAAACATGAAAATAAAAAATTAGTAGACGAGTGTTTTCTCTCTTTCCTATGGGAGAGCTTGACTCTAGTTTGGAGCATTTTATTTGTTCCCTCTTATGCTTATCAATTCTCACTACTAGTTATGTGATATTATTATGGTATTCTTCAATTTTATTTGTTGTTATAATTAATTTCTTTTATTTTGATTATTTTTACCTTTTAGCTGTCAATATTCAATATCGATCTCTTTTTTATTATTTTCATTATAATTTTTTGCTCTGATATCTTTTACATGCATTTTGAATATGTCTTTTTTAGCTGAGGATCTTATATCTTAAATAACATCATTTCTTATAAGATAAAGATAAGAT